GTTAAGGAGTAAGTTGAGTGTGATAAGGCAGTAAAAATGTACGGTGTTTTTCTAATTTTAATTGTAAATGCGGCATGAAAGGTTACTGAGAATGAACGTATTTATTGGCGTGAATGACGAGTGGTTGGCGAGGTGACTCTCACCTAGAAGAAACCCAGTTAGTTACACGGGTACTCTGGGTCATTTGTACTCTGAGACCTGCTAGGTTACATAAAAATCTTATGGTAACACCAGTGTTCTAGGAATATTACGTGTGGAAGATAGGTAAGTAAACGTAATAGTAACAAAGTAGTAATAAAAATATCGTGACAGTCGTCTAGTAACCAAAGGTACATGACAGAAAAGTGACGAAAAATGCAGAAAAGTATACATATTTTCTCGATTATAAAATAACGTGACAAATATGCGAGGAGCCGGCAATGACCATAGTAGTTAGCCGGCAAAAAAAATTAATTAATTTAAAAAAATAAAATTTATGAAATGAAAGGCTAATCAACGAGGTCTCCGTCATTCCCACGCCGAAATATTCAAACTTTCAGACTTTTGAAAAAATTCTTTACAAATCAAATAACGATTTAATTAAATATGTCCTTTTTTGGAAACGCCATGTAGACGATATTTTATGCATATGGTCGGGAACACTACAGGATCTAAAAGAATTCCTCCAATTCATTAATTATTTACACCCCGGTATAAATTTTACATTGGAAGTAAATACAGAGAGTTGTTTAAACTTTTCAGACTTAAACCTAACTATATAAATAACTTTTTATTAGGTTTCGTGTCCGCTTGGCCAAATAAATTCTTTTCAATTTATTAAGGTTTCGGTTGAGACAAAAAAGTCAGTGCCACAAGCGGGATTCGAACCCAAGACCTTCGGCTAAATACGCCGCTACTCTACCGCTTGAGCTATCGTGACTTCGATCCACTCGGACACTTCCCATCTCAACCCCACCTAGTTAATTTTCAAAAGGCAAATTTTGAAAAAATTAAGTCGGGTTGAGATGGGAACCTCAACCAAAACCTTAATAAATTGAAAAGTAATAAATAATCTAATTGAACTAGACGTGTATCGAAAACTCTCAACTACAGACCCCATGATACCAGCAGATTCTTCTCACCCTTGAACCCAAAAAGCTGATGGGTTCATTTGGCTCATAGACCGTTTGTCGAAACTCCTATTAACACATACTAATTATTAAAAAAATTACAAACAATTAAAACCTTGCTTAAAACAATGGATGTCAAGATATATTTATCGATAGGTAGCTAGTAAAAATAATTTAAAAAAATAACTTTAAAGGAAGCAACAATCAGACTCAGCCATACCAGAAAAATTGAATCGTTAGGTTTTCGTTGCTTGCCATACATTGGTTAACTATCAAAAAAGTAGGTAAAATTGAACAATATGGTTTTAGAGTAGCTTTGAGACGTTCACTTAGTTTCATTTCATCATAGTTCATCTTCACTTAGAAACATCCTCTCAAAATCTTGGTTGACAACTTGGCCAAAAGCCGGGTTTCAAACGTAATTGTAATGAATGCGATATTATAGGACAAAGCGGCAGAGAAATTATTGGGTTGTCCGGAAAATAATGCAGGATTTTAAGTTTTCATTAAAAAAAATCTATATAAAATATTCTGTTTACGTTTACAGGATTACTCATTNGATTAATAAGTTACCAACACGTTGGGAGAAATGTATTGAGAGTATGGGAAATTATTTTGATTAAAGAACATTGCTTTAAAGTAACTAGTTTCTTTTTTTTTTTGTTTAATACCAAAATCCTGCATTATTTTCCGGACAACCCAATAAAACGAGAGTTAAAGAACACTTGCCTTGAATCGAGCAAATGTTCTGAATTTAAGAACCGTCTAAACCAAACAAAACAAAACGATTTAAAGTTAAGTACAGCATGTTTCAACAAAGAGAGGGAAATAGATTGGTTTGAGAAATTTCAAGAAAAAAAATGTAAAATTAAACATGGAGATAAATGCGTAAATTTATGCATTTATTTTGATTTACCTTCTATTTTAAACAAGCGCCTAAATAATATCCGACTTACAAATTAATGAAGATAAGATGAATCTACCGTCTAAATACCACAAATTTGTTGAGGATCAGGGATGCGCTCACAAATTTGTTACTAATTAATCTCTAATTTAAAATTATTTTCTTACAGTATTTATTAGGATAATGTTTTCTTGTGTTGTAATTCGTGTTTTCCCACGTTCAAAACTGAGCTAAAAAGCTAAATTGGAACCTCGCGTGGATCGTTCACTCTTACAATTCATGTCTACGTGTTTGTAACTCTTTCAAACTGATGATGAGCGTTTAATGCTCGAAATCTTTGAAAATCCTCGAAAATATTTGAAAACAACAAAATATGAGTAAGGACTATCTTTTGGAAAGATTCATACCCATACACACTCGACCTTCATCATTTCTAAAATGAACTGCGGTGGAAAAAATGTAATTCTACATTGACAATAAATATTAACCAAAGTAACTTTTGTGGAATAACTTGAAAAAAAAAATATTATGTTTATTTCGATTAAAAAACAAAAAGTTTTAAAACAAATTAACATTTTTTTAAAATTAAGTGTTTGTCCGAAGGAATTTTTCAAGGTAGAACTTGCCATTGCAGTAAATAATTTCTCTTTTTAGTCATGCGTTCAGTCATAGTTATTTAAAATTTTTATAAATATTTGAAATCATCATTTCTTATTTCTTTCGTTTTTATGCCGTGGTAGTATGAATATCTTACGTTTAAGGGTTTTTCATACTTATATATATTTGCTGTTTCTTCGTAGCGAACAATCTCTCTCATAAAACTATGCATACTCAAGTTTTAGCACACAAGCAAAAATTGTGATTTACATTTGCATTTTATAACCCTTAAATGTAAAATTTTACGAATTAAACTCCTGCTCAAAATTAACGCACCACTTCAATATTTCACCATATGTTTTTCTCAGGTGTTTTTTGAACGTTATTTTTATTTTTAGTATTGTAGGTTATTAATAATAAAACATTACAAATGAAAATGAAAAGCAGAAAAGGACGGTAAACTTTATTAAAAAATATTCCATAAAAAAGACTGAAAAGGTCAAAAATTTTCATTTAAGTTCAAACACAAATTTAATTACTCAGTATCTGGTGTTGCCTCCCCTGGCTTTGATTACTGCATCCAGGCGTCTTCTCATGCTGTTGATGAGGTTTTTTACCCTTTCTTGTGGAATATTCTCCCATTCTTCCAATGCCGCTTGGCGCAGTTGCGAAAGGTTGCTAGGAGGTTGTATTCGGCTCCTAATCCTTTTTTTTAGCTGATCCCAGATATGCTCAATAGGGTTGAGGTCAGGACTACGAGCTGGCCATTCAATCCGCTCAATATTCTGTTCATTTAAAAATTCTTCCACCGATCTCGCACGGTGAGGTCTAGCGTTATCTTGCATGAATAAAAAGCCTTGTCCAATATTCCTAGCGAAAGGCACTACATGAGGTTGGAGGATCTCTTCCACATACCTTGGTGCATTTAGAGACCGTCCTGGAACAACGACTAACTCTGTGCGGGCCTCCATGCTGATACCTCCCCAGAACATGATGGAGCCTCCACCAAAGGCGACGCGAGGAATAATATTGCACTGAGCAAATCTTTCTCCACTTCGTCTCCATGTCCGAGCACGACCATCTGGAGAATTAAGAGCGATTCTAACTTCGTCAGAAAATAAAACTCTCTTCCAGGCATCAAAACTCCAGTTGAGGTGATCCCGGGCAAATCGCAGCCTGGCTACTCGGTGGTCTCTGGTCAGTAGTGGCCCTGAAGCAACCCGTCTACTGCTCAAGCCAAACTCATTCAGCCTTCTTCGAACAGTGGGAGCCGAAATTGAGACATTCCTGGTGCTTTGAAGGAGGCTACTCATTTCCGAACTTGTCACCTGCCTCGTTCTGAGGGCATGTAAGCGCAAAAATCGGTCATCCCTCTCGGTCGTTGCTCTTGGACGTCCTTGTCCAGGCCTCCGTGTGTTGCTGCCAGTTTCATTGAACCGTTGGAGAGTTCTTCCGATGGTGGTATGGTGACATCCAATTATTCTTGCAACTTGTCGCTGGCTGTAGCCCTCCTCAAGAAGAGTCATCGCTCTGACGGCTTCACGCTCACTCAAATGTCTTATGGGCGCCATAAGTTCTAAATTAAAGTTTAAACTTCCAAAAGAAATGGTGTCTGTTAAGCAGATGCAGTGAAACTGAGGAATAAACCAGGAGGAAACTCTTGTGTATCTTACCAAATCCATTTCAAAGCGGATTAACACGATTGTAAACAATTCTTGTTTACTTTTGTGGGATTGTGAAGCATAAAAAAGAGAATAAACATGAAGAGATTTAGCTGGATTTCTCTAAAAAGAATTTCTGTTTAAAAATTAAGGTGGTGCGTTAATTTTGAGCAGGAGTTTAGTTCTTTCCCAGTCCGTGTTTGTTCTTATCTTACAGTTTCTCGATAATCATCGGTAAGTCTCGCTAAATGATGCTAAAAATAAGCTTGTTTCGGTTTTCTCCATTCGTTTCCCTTGGACAAATCCAGCCATTTCGGCCAGGTAAAGTCATATGAAGAGAGAGAAAAAAACAATTGGCAGGACATATGCGAGTTTTCGCGTTTTACGCCTGATTTCCAAGCCATTTGATGACCCGAATTTAATTATTAATGTAGCCTGTGATATGAAACTGTCCTCTCCCTCACTGGGCATTCTAACGAGGAAATATGTACTTCACTGTTATTCACGTTTCTGGTCTGATGACAAATTTTCAATTTGTACTTGTAATCTTCCGTTCAAATTACAAATCGTTGTATTTAGGCAGATTATTTATCAAGAGATAAGAAAAATAATTCTACGCATCTTACAAGAACAAACAGGGACAACGTATGATAAAACATGTACGTAAAGTAAAGGTTTACATTTTAAATCCTTTCTTTTTACAAAAATGTTTTTTATTTCTATTTGTACCTTTTATAATTGGAAAGATCTTTTCAACACCGTGTTTTCTCTTCTGAAAAATTTGCTATCAGGTTTTTTTTATACGAAAATAAGGCAGCAAATGTTTCATCCTGATATTACACGTTAATTGTAGATACAGTAAAAAAAATTACTGCATTGTATGGTATACACTACATCCCACAATCCCGCGAAATACACCATCTAAGGATATCTTTGAGTTGGAAAAATTTCATCAAAGTCAAAATCAGTATGGTACACGAGCTGTACTGAGTTTTGTCATTGCAACATAGATATGTTTCGAAGAAGGGTTCAAAGGTCATGTCTCTTGACATGAGAAGCGTTTTGATTCGGGATCGACAGATTCCTCCCCAAGGTACTCATTCATTCCCAAGGTTGGAGTAGGGAATGCAAAAATAATAGGGAAAAAATATTGTTATCTTCTCGTTTGATAAGTATCTGGCAGTCTGACTAGTGTAGACACGATTTATATCGATGAAATGCTCTCCAAAAATTTTCTACCAGCTAGTGACATACATGAAAAATGATCACTACATACCTCTAGTGTTTTCCCTGCTATCGAACAAACGCCGGGAAATACACGCCCTGCTTTTTGAAAGTGTTACTGCCCACTGCGGGGAAAAATGGCGCTATTTTCAGGCCTCAGTCTGTATTTGTGGATTTTGAAGTTGATCTGCATTATGCAATAAGAGACATTCCCTACAGCTCATATGAGAGGGTGCTCAGTTTTTCAAAATGCAAGATTTAAAGGAGGGGTCTCTTTTTGAATATTATATTCGGCATACCATTTTTGGACCCCTCAGAAGTAGGTGTCTTCATAGCATTTCAGTTGTATCCGATGAAGCACAATAATGCAAATGTTGAAAAGTTTTATTACAATCGTTATTAATGCGTTTTTTTTAATAAATACATATTTCGATGGACAGAATTGATTCTATCATTTCATTGCATTTTAGTATAATTATTTTGCATTTATTATATTCATCATATAAACATGTTGTTTTTCATTCTGCAAACCCAGGGACTTAAAAATATACTTAAAAGTTCGGAATGAAATTCTGTCCCGCATGATGTACTTATTTGAGCAGGTATGGTCTTGTCAAAGGCTTCAGTCGGACCGTAGTTTTATATCATTGGTCGTCCACAAATGGTGCGTATTGGAGGACAATCTTCCAATCTGAAAAAATGTAAAAATAACAGGGTTCAATCTGTGGTCCGGTTCTACATTTGATCCATACAGACGATATTTTGACGAGGTTTCCGGAACTTTCTCCAACAGGGTACGCACACGATATTAAATCTTCAATTAAGGTAGATGATGTGGGAAATCTTTCAGAAACAAATCAAAGTTCTAATGGTCGAATGGATGATTGGTACACTTCGAATGAGTTACATCGTAACCAAGATAAAACATACACTTGGACCTTTTTCTGTCTGGGTTTTCTGACATTCCGGGTTTTTTGATTTTTTAGGAATAAGAGTTGTTCCTCTCCTGAATTGCTGTGATCATTGGAGACTGGTCAAGCGCCTGAACTCTAATATACATATATTGCGTGCATATGAGTCAGGTTTCCTTAAAAGTCAATGCAGTCAATTCAAGCAAATATGTATGGCATACTGGTCTGGGGACAATCAGCATCTGCTAAGATGTCTTTGCATTGCAAAGAGCCATTCCGGGCATTGACTACCTTGCGAATCAAGAAAATTGTAAAAGAAAGCTTTGTTAATTTAAGGCTCATCCTACCACGTATATTTAGTATTATGTAATTTATGATCATAAACATAGAAATAAATGTGACACAGTACAGTAAATAATGTATATAAATATTTCATTCATAACGCTTTAAAATTGATGTTCCATACAACAGATAGAAAAAGTCAGAAAATTGTACAAATTACTGGACGACCAAACTTTACAATTGTTTGTCCAAAACTTTCAAAACCTTCTTTTAATATGTTAAAAAAAATTTTTTGGAAAAAAGCTATGGAAGGCTTTTATGTCTATAATGAATTAGGTGAATGATTTTGAACTTTATTGTTCTGTATGTATAAGAATGTTTATGTGAATATTTTGACTCTAGTACAAAAAGCTTATGATTTGCTAAATAAATACTATTCAATTCTAAACGAGTAGTTTATATTTATGGAAAAAATGCCACATGTAAACGCACCTTTTGCGTAAGAACAACGATTTGTTTTTTATCTCTCTCAAAATTACAATAAATTAATTAATTTACAAAAATTGATAATTTCTTAAAGTCCGTCTGCTGCGGTAACACCACAATTTATTTATTGTTTAGATAGCTTATCATGCAGATCTTTTAACATGCTGACTCCTTTGATTTCTATTTCTTAAATTTCATTTGTTCCCAACAAACTCCATTTGTTCGATCTCAATTGGAGAGTTGTTTAGCTTAATTTTACCTGAAACGTTTAAAGTCAACAATCACATGCTATTTTAATTTTTTCGAGCATCGAAACGGTTCTTTTTTCTTTCTTCCGTACCCACGTGGCTTCCTGGCCGGTTTTCAACCGATTCATTCGCCTTTGGCCCACTTTCAAAACACCTCTCGCCTTTCGGAATCGTATTGTTTTAAACAATTTTATTTTTACACGTGTAATTTTAGGTCGGCGTTATTGAGAAACAGGTTAAAGTCTTAGACTGGCGATTTATTTTGTGTTTTAATTGGAAACCGCAATTGGGATAAAGGCTTTATTTAGCCCTGTGGCTTCTAAAATGCAAAACGTGCTGCACATGTCCAACACGGGACAAAATGTCACGTCCCCACGGTCACTATCTGCCTTGCTAATAACGACATTTCGTGCAAACCGCCCGGTACTTTTCCTGCCTAAACTATCGGTTTCAACAAGTTTGGACAAAATCTGACTTAATTTATTGTCATTTATTTATCGTCCCACCCAATTGCACGTTTTATTTTAAGAGATATAACGACATTTTAACTGTTTATCCTAAATTCTCAAGTATTGTGAAAATACTTAATCAAAATCGGTTGAATATTATTTACCCATTTCCTTCGAATTATTTTAATACTATCTTCTTAAATTTATTTATCCTTTTTTTTCAACAAACAGTTACTTTAACGATGAATAAAATAAACTGCTAAAAAATGAATGGGGATATTTGTAATTTATTCTTATTCTATTAATTTTAACTAAAACAACCGATATATTCTCGTTAGTTGGATGAAACAAAATGTAAAATACAAGCCAAAAGCAAATAAATGTTAAAGGATTTACCTAGGAGTAGTAAGCGCAAAGATTGGAAAGACGTCATATCATCTTAAATACTTTTTTAAAAAGGATAGTTCCTACTCACAGTAAGTTGTTTTGCAACGTCCCGATTTCGAGCCTTTTAGCTCATCATCAGTTGAAGGACTTCTACAACCAGTCCCTCGACATGAATTGCCAAAGTGAACCGCTGATACCTCCGCCAACGACGTTCCAATTGGCGGAGGTATCAGAGGTTCACTTTGGCAATTCATGTCGAGAGACGTGGTTGTAGAAGTCCTTCAACCTAATGATGAGCTAAAAGGCTCGAAATCCGGATCGTTGCAAAACAACTTACTGTGAGTAGGAACTAATCTTTTAAAAAGTATTGAATACCACACTCACTCCATCATTTATCATTTCTATCATATCATCTTGAACCTGAATTATTGTGAGAATGATTCATCGAGGTCACAGGCAAGTGAATATCGCAGAGGCAGTTGTCGTTTCTCAGACCGTGGTCCCCCTGCCTTTAGCCCCATTACGAGAGACTGGAAGTGCCAGTAGGAGGCCTGGTAGTGGATCTCAGCGCATTACGACGATAAGGAGACAGAAATATTGTCATTGCTACAAGACGGAACCCTGTCTATAGTGCCTGTCCGATCCTAAATGAAGTACAAGATCTTTTGGCGAGGCCTTTAAGTCAGTTTATATGAAGTTGGTTTCACGCCGTAGCCCCTTTGAGACGGCCTGCAGCAACTGCTCGCCACCAGCAACTCAGGAGAGTATGGTGCAGCGAGCGCCTAGAAGAGAACACCAATTGGGATGCTGTTATGTCTGTATTGTCAAAGCAGGCGCCGAAAAGTACCGACAGGAGTGGATGCGTACAATGCCCCAGTCCATGCCTTCCTTCATTGCAGTATGGAGGAGGCGGCGTAATGATCTGGGCTGGGATATACACTGGATGACGAACTGGACTCCATACTGTTGAAGGCAACCTCACCGCAGTTCTTTAATTCCAAGAAATTATCAAGGAATACATCCTTCAAACCAGGGACCTAATTGGCGGGGATTTTCGATTTCTGGATGCCAGACCTCATAGAGACAGAGTTGTTCATCAATGTTTAGAAAACCTAGGAATTTCCCATCTACCTTTCCCCATTTTCTCCAGACCTCAATCTCATTGATCACATGTGGGACTTGTCACCTGTGTCGTATTTCTCTTTCATTCTGTATACAGTTTATTTTATCCAAGATGAAAGCATTGATACGCAAAATCGCGGGCTGTGTACTCATTGTAAAGATGGAATGGAAGAAAAAAACGTTCTGTGCGAGTTCAAATTGATTTCTTTTATGAATACTGCCTGCCTCGTCCCGTAGATCCGGTTTACCGTGATACATATTACTTAATTCTTCGATATCAGCTTTAAACCAATCGTGCTTTGTCACCCATGTTTACACGAACTTACTGCACAATAAAACGAGACGAATAGCCAATTTTCGCGATAAGTTCGAATGAGTTAGAACGTGCAACTAGTCGGTATTTACATCTATTGGTATAGAGAGCTACATTAGTCACTATCTGACATAAATATCATGCAATATCTGTCAGATGTAAACATACCTAAAGACCCTAATCAGTCTTTGCTCCTAGAGATTGACAATTGTTATAAACTTTTATCAGGGATTCGACAAATATATTAATATATTTACGTTAATGAATGACGGGATGTTTTCGCAAATTGAACTGTATGGCAAGAATTAAAGAATGGGTAAAACAATTCTGGCAATCACGGCCAGTAAGTATATGTTATAGTTATAAGTATAAACTCTATAAATAATATAATTACCGTAGTAGTACGTTTTTCTAAAGAAAAGAAGATGTCAACAAGTCAAAGATCTTTCCCAATGCGAAAAATCGAGAAGCGTTCGTTTTCGCTTATAACTAAAGCTACTAAGAACAACAAATTGTATT